AGATGAAAATTGGTCTGTTACTTTTAATTTATTTTTATTTTACTTTTTACAACAAATATATTTATTATTTTTTTGTCTTACTTTAATTTCTTCTTTTTTAAAACATACACCAATTTTTCTTTTTCAATAACTTCTCTCAACCAAAACAAATCAACAACAAATTTTCTTCCCAGAATTAATAATGAAAATTTTTCCAAAAACCCGATAACTAACTTTTTATTATTTTTTTTTTCTTTTATATTCACAATACAACTTAATAATAATAATAATACTAATAATATTATAATTATTTTTTTTTTAACAAAACGATTGCGCATAATAATATAATATTGAATTAAAATAATAATAATAATATACTGAAGTACACTAATCCTATTAAAAACAAATAACTACAATTAACTTCTTTTAATGAGTATATTATAATTATACTATCAACTATATTATAATTTAATATCCCCAAACATCACACTTCCCAATATAACAAACCATACATCATAATAAAACGACCCAAATTTATTCATTAAAAACAACAACAATCTAACATATAATATGTAGAAAAATATAATAAAATAAATCATAATTATCCAATTCTTCATCTCCCAAAGGTCCACAGCTGACATCTTCTACCATTAATCCAATATCTCCAACTAGGGGTTTTTCCTAATAATGAAACCCCATGTGATCATCATCTCTTCTTCTTCCCTCAAGGAAAACTCAATTTCCCTGTCAGAAAATAACTGACATTTTATGTATTATATTAAATTTATTTCTTCTTTTTTTCAACAATTACAACAGTTTATAACTTGTTTATATATTATTTATTATCAGATTATTGATTATATATTATTATATTTTTTCCTGTTTAAAATCAAATTTGTAATAAAAAAATTTGTCAATATATTTGAGTATGATTTATTTTATTAAAAAAATTAATTCGAAATATTCGAATAATTTGAATCGAATACAAATAGTAGATTTTATTATTCTTACGAATTCAAATAGTAAATTATTCGATTCGTTTAAACGAATCGAATATGAATAATGCACTATTCGATTCGAATTCGTTTTTGAATAGGCCTACTTTATAGACACTAATAATTCTAAGCGCAAATGTTTGTATTGTGATAAAATTTATTAAAATTTCCGTTTACGTAGAAATAGCTTCACTCAAAAAGTGGCGCTTGAATTGTTGCATATTCAATAGGTCTTTTAATAATCTATCGATTTATCTGTAATAAATAACCATATATTTAACTAATAAGTTCAATAAGAAATAACTTAAGATACATGGGCCTCGTGCTCATAGCAGATTTAGTCTAATTTTAGAGCCAAGCGCCAGGTCTGGGTATTACACAACCAACCAATTAACAATACTAATATAAGTAATCGAGTTTCATAAAATTTAAGATAACCCGTTGAGTTCACGACTCAAGTTTATGACTAGTTCAACTCAAGTTCATAACTCGAGTTCATGACTCAAGATCAAAACTCAAGTTCATGACGCAAGATCAAAACTCAAGTTCATGACTCAAGATAAAAACTCAAGTTCACGACAAGTTCGGAACTCGAGTCGTAAAAATGAGTTGACTAATCGACTCAAAACTCGACTTGAGTTTTGAGTCTAGTTATTGCTACTTCGACTCGGAGTCGTAGTCGGGTGAACTCGACTTTTTAACAACACTAATAAGACCTAATAATAAAGTAGAAGTACAGGTCTTTTTAGGAATGGTAAATTATTATAATCGGTTCGTGGAAGGATTTTCTCAGATAGCAGCGCCATTATATCAATTATTTAAGAAAGGGGAGGAGTTTGATTGGACCAATGAGCAAGAGTAATCATTGCAAAAATTGAAATGTAGTATCGGAAAAGAACCGGTTTTATTAAGTTTTAATAATGAATTGGAAGTGATATTAGCGATGGATACTTCTAATAGGGGTGTAGGGGGAGCTTTGTTGCATTATATTGATGAAGTAGAGAGGCCGGTGTTATTTTTCTCAAGGATTTTTAGAGAAGCGGAGACTAGATATTCGGTAATCTAACAAGAGGCGCTAGCTTTTATTTTCGGGTTAACAGAGTGCCATGAATATCTAATTGGATGCCGGTTTTTTGTTTACACGGATCATAAACTGTTGATGCATTTATTCAAAAAGGACAACAAAGAACTAATGCTGTCGCCTAGGCTACAGAGATGGTTATTTCGTGGGGAGTGTTGAAGTTCAAGTGAAATATCGCCGGGGAAAGAAAACTATTTACCAGATATTCTAATTAGATGTGGAGCTGGAAAGGATTTAGGGGAGAAAGAACAGGAAGAACGAAATGAAAAAGAGGAACAGATACTAATTAGAGCGATGGCTGGAATATCCCGGGGCGGGACAGGGACATGGGAAGAAATTAAAAAAACTTTAAAAGATCGGGAACTAAGTCGAATCAAGTCGTGTTTTAAGGGATGAAAAATGTGGCAAGAGAAGAATAAAATGTGCAAACATATACAAAAGGAGTTGGCAATAATAAATGAATGTTTGGTACGAGGAGGTCGGAGTGTTATGTCGGCTTAATTAAGGGAAGAAGTAATGGCGATGATTCATGCTGGACATCTAGGAATGGAAAGAATGAAACAATGGGTATTGGAATATGTTTGGTGACGAGGAATGAACAAAGACATTGAAAATATCAGTCGAGCTTGTGTTAGATGTAATGCTTGGGCTCCGATGCCTCGAAAAGATAAGGAAAGGGGGGTGGACGAAAGCGAGTCAGCCTTGGGAACGCATCCACTTGGATTCCTTTGACTTTGAGAATAAAATATATATATTGGTGGTAGATGCTTTTTCAAAATAAGTCGAGTATGAAGAAGTGAAAGGATTAGCCACTCGTGATAAAAGTATTATGACAGTAGTGTCGGATGGGGGTCCTGCTTTTATTAGTAGACCATTCAAAGTCTTTTGTGCAGAAACTGGAGGAGTGAAACACATTTTAGCGCCCCCGTATCATCTGAGTTCAAATGGCCAAGCGGAAAGGATGGTAGCGGTAGTCAAGAACTGGTGAGAAAGTCAAAGGATGGGGGCGGAGAGATGTGGTTGGCAGTGGCGTATTATAAAAACAGTAAAAAAGGGGAGGAGCCGTCGCCGGTGGAGAAGTTTTTAGGACGGAGAACTCGAATTTGGTTGGATTCATTGAAACCGGCAAGTTAGGAAGAAAAGCTGTTCGAGACCGGGAATGAAGCGGAATTTAAGGTAGGCCAGGCAGTATAGGCGAGGATATTTGGAAGTAATAAGAAATAGGAATCTGGGGTGATCATGGAAAACATGGGACACAAATTAAATCGAGTGAAATTCATCGACGGAAGAGAGGGAGTACGGCATCGAGATCAATTGAAAAGGGGCGTAGAACCTGAGATACGATCGGGATTATAAATAGGAGGTTATAATTGATCGAAAATTTAGGGTGGAAAATATTTTTCTTAGTATGGTGCTCAATATATCCGATGAAAATTGAAGGGGACAGTTAAACCAGAGGTATGCTAACTCAATACCGGGGTGATTGATAATAATAATAAAAAGGGCCGGGTGATCGATAATAATAATAAAAAGGGAATCAACCATATTAGGGTTAATGGGAATGAATTGTACAAATGATAAATGAAGCCAGGTCGAACTAAGATGATTTCTACAGGAAATCGACAATAGCGACACACAAAGGGAGGAGACTCAAGAAACTAATCACCTTATAAATTCATGAAAACGCCATAAAGGGACAATAATTATGCCGGGTGAGAGATCAAATTCGAAGTTGGGTTTTCAATTAGTGGGGACGTGTTATGTGTATCGTTTTTTAGGTATAGCGAGTCATTTATATGATAAGCATTTTATTTGTGATTAATTGATTTTTTATGCGCATTCATTCTTTTAATATATTATAAAAATTGCTATTTTTAGATTAATTAAATTATTAATAAATTTTTATTTATTTTATAGTAGATATAAATATAGATAAAAACTTAATAAAGGACAGTTGTCATTTTTCAAGATTTTCTTCATTATTTGATTATTGTTGTCTATTTTTTCAGAAATTTATTTTTTTTGGTTTCTTTATAAAGAGAAAAAAATTATCTTTTGTTCAAAAGAAAAGAAGAAAGAATAAATTATTACAAGTAAAAAAAAATTATATATTTAATTCAAAAAATAATAAGTTAGAAAGTAAAGTGCAGTAAAAGAAAAACAAAAAAAGAATAGATAGTAAGTTAGAAAAGACGTTTATCAATAGGTGCTTAAAAATTATAAACGGTGTTTTCTAACACTAGACTAATATCGAATGATAAATTATGGAATCTATCAAAACATATTCTCCACATTACACTAAAGAAAAAACGTATTCAATTCCTAACTTATATACTGAGAAACCCCAACTGTAATTTTGTCCATGACGCTTTAACATGGTTCTTTACCTGTAAGGGGAAATAGTACAGTTGGTACATGATAACTTGTTTTAACCGAGATGTTGCAGACTTGAACATGAATTGGAAACATTTCATAAAATTAAATAATAAAAAAAATTTATAAAAAGCTTTTTAAGATTATTAGGTTATCTAAAATAATATCATACTCTTCATCACTCTACTCATTCTCATCTTCAACTACTAAAATACCTTCAACAAGATTACAGGTTCATTTCTTTTATAATAATCAAATTTTTAACTTAGATCCATTAAACATTAAATTTAAGTCACCCTTCCTCTGTTCTAATTACAATTAAATATAAATATGGCAGTAGGTTATGGGTGTTGGCTGTTTATTTTAGCCCATTCCCTCTTAATCAGCCCACAGACGTTTAAACAATATGTGCATACAAGTAAGTACGGCTTACAAACGTGTAAAAGGCTTCTCATATTTTCTCCCTGAATTCTTTTAAAAATCAATTATGGAAATGAAAATTAAATGTGCGTAGCTCTGTTGTACCTACAACGTTTAGAGGGCTAATGCGCTTTATCACTTATACACCAATCCTTTCTTTTATTATCAACTTTTTCGCCAAAACAGATGATGTTTACCTAAAACACATTTCTAAACAATAGTACCACTTCAATATGAGAATGGGTTCTCTAGATGGAATTGATTTATCCCAACTTAAAGTAATTACAAAAGACATATATAGTAAATTGATAAATATCTTTAAAAAAATATTATGATTCATTAAATATCACCAATTGTATTGTTACAATAACAATTTTTTTGAATTGAAAATAAAATTTAAATTCTTTACATTGAATTTTAATGAATTTTTATACAAATTTCAATAAAAATATTGAATATATTTATAACAAATCATATAAAAGATTATTATTACTGCCTACTTTTAATAAAAATTTTAAATAATAAAAAAAAGAAATGAATAACCAAAATTATTCATTGAAAAATGTGTGTAATTAAAGACCTTTAAAAAATATGTGTGGTAGAACCAACCTAATACTCTACCCACTTTCCCTCATTGAATTTCTGACCACATCTATGGTGAATTATGATGTAAGTCAAATCCCACCATTTATTTTATATCTTCCTTTTGTGCTTTTACCATGCGCGTATGCAGGAATTTGGTCTGAGGGGGGGGGGATAATAAAATTTTTTAAGAAATATTATTGTTAATTATAAATACTAAGCATAAATTTATTAGGACTAATAACTTTTCTAATACACAATTTTAAACTAATGTGAATTAAAAAAAATATTTATATAAACCGGCATTGAAAAACTATAAAATAAATGTGAATTAAAGTGAATACAACCCACGATATGAATCACTTAAATGACCCAAAATTGAAATTTGAATTTTTTGAACTTTTAAAATATATAAAGTATAAAAAATTTAAATGTTGGAAATATAAATTAATACACAAAAAGTTTCTTAGGAATAATTGTATTTTGTATGTTTTGAGCTAATTTTTCAATTATCTATCCTTGCTTGGCATTAAATGCCTATGAATATTCAAAAGATTCAAATCATTTAATCTACTTTCAAATGTTGTATTTCATAGGTATGTTTTTCACAGACTTGCAGGGGCCGGGCCCCCGAGCCGGACCATATTTTAATTTTTTAAATATACCTAGACCAGGCCCGTAATTTTTTTTAAAAAACATCCGGGTTGGGCCTAATTTTTTTTTTAGAAAAAATATCTGGGCCAAGCTGTATATTTTAAAACCAAATATTTGAAATCGCCATTATTAGCTATAAAAATCAAAAATAAATATAATTTATTTTTTAAAAAATCGGGCCGGGCCTAAAAATTTTATTTTCAAAAAAGCCACTGGACCTGAAAATTTAAAAAAAAATCTGTACCATGTCCTGCAAATAGTACCTCTGCAAGGCTCTTTTATTCTTCTTAAAAAAGAGAATGTTCTCTCATTAGTTTACTAAAGAGCTGCTAATATATATATATATAACCATTTTAATACATTGGAAGTATAATCTAAAATGTGTTTAAAATAATGCAAAGCATCCATAGCATTTTTTGGGACTATATAAACCATAGTTAATCTTTTAATCATAGTTATTCAGCTAATAAGGCATCATAAGATATTTTAACATTTTCATGATAAAAATCTAACAAATATTTATATTATTTTCTATCACCATATGGAAAAGGTTGGGAGAGGGGACATTTGTTTTATAATACTCTTCTACTGATCCTATATTAATGTTTTGACGATGAGCTTGCTTGCTGCAATTCGAGGGGGACAAATATTTAACACGTACAGCTCTGCTTTTGATAACATATAAAATATGAAATTCTTCATCAACATTAGCTCTAATTTCCTTGAGTTCTAATAAAATGCTCTCCGCTATTCTCATCTTCTTAATCAAGTCAATGTTATGTTTTTGAAAAGTATTACATAAAATAGTTGTATAATTAAATAATACATTCTAATGAGAAAAAAAAATTGGAATAAGTATTGAATCCAATAATTTTCTTGCTTCTGAGGAAATATTTCTTTCAAGCCATTGTAATATTTCAGTAATAGCATTAATAATCGGTTCTTCTAAATCTATAAAAGCTGTTACTGCTTGGAGACTTGATCTTGTTGGATAAGCTTGCAATTTCTTTCTCCCTGTTGGACAAGGAGTTTCAGAGATAATTATTATTTGACTAGAAATTTAGATAAATATTACGCCACTAAAATTTTAAAATAGGTAAATTACGCCAAGGAAAACTTGAAATCAAAATTAATTGATAAAATAACTTAGTAGATGAATGTGATAAATAAATGTAATTAAATATTTATATATATATGAGATAGGAATAAATATTAACAACCAAGGAAAACTTGAAATCAAAATTAATTGATAAAATAACTTAGTAGATGAATGTGATAAATAAATGTAATTAAATATATATATATATATATATATATAATGAGATAGGAATAAATATTAACAAATATAAATTAATATTAACAATGATATTTTTGATAATCCGGCATCTGCAATCCTCCCCCCCCCCCCTGCTGCATACGCCAATGGCTTTTACCTTTCTCCACCTTCATGATTGATTGTTTTTATTGATTTTCATATTAATTTTATGTTTATAGCAAATAGACTGGCATATCCAGGATTTTTATTAAAGGGGAGGAGACTTTTAGATGGTTTTTTTTGGCTTAAATTTTATTTGAAATTTTTAGTCCCCTCTTTGAAGACCTTTGTCTAGATTACATTTTTTTTAATATAATTTTGATTTTACACTTTTTTATTCTTTAACCTTTTTGATATTATTCAGAGACTTTCATTCATGGGTTAATTTTTTGATCACATCTTTGCACACAGTAAAAATAAATTTAGGTCCAGTCCCAACCAGCCCATATTTTTAAAAAATTCCCAAGATTGATCCAAGCTCATAATAAGTTATTTTTCCCAAACCCAAGCCCATATTTAAAAATTTAATTTATTGTATTTAATGAAAATACAAAATATTTAAGTGTATATAGGCAATCATTTTGTCTACAATACTGAAATTTATTATTAGAAAAAAAAATTCAAAGATTTTTTTATGTTAGCAACTGTTTTAAATAAGCTAAATTTAAATTAAAAAATTTAGACCCAAGCCCATTAAAAAATTTTTACAAATACCCAGGCCCACTAGGAAATATAACATTAGTCTGGCTCAGCCCATGAAGGTATCTGGTTTATATTTTACTCGTTTTTGGAAGAAAGAAAATGAAAGGAGTGTTGGAGGATTTTTTTAAATTACCTTAAAATGATATTTAGGAAAACTAACAAATATGACTAGAAAGTACCCTTTCCTCTCTTGGTTATGTTATGTTCTATCTTCCCACTTGTCCCGTATAACTTATTTCTTTTCTTTACGTTTTTCTCCACTTGTTTCTTTTGTTTTCCCATCTTCCTTTTTTTTGTTATGAAATTGATATTATACCTTATTTTTATATTGCATTTGAAACTGGTTCTAACCAGTTTCAAGAATGATTGTATCGCGATTATATAACAATCTTTTTTTTTCCTCTTTGTTCTAAAAATTATAAAGGTTGGAAAAATACCTTATTCTTGACGATTAAATATTATTTTGTGTGAAATTCGATTATTAATTATCTTGTTGTGCGTAGTTTTATTCTTTGGCAAATTGTGACATTTTAACAATAAAGTGAATTACTAAAATTACCCTGGAGGATGACTAAGATGAAAACCGGTCCCAACGTCAACCTACCTGAAAATCCCGGTCCCTCGAATTCTGCCGATCCCTCTCCCTCGGTAGAACAGCCCGCGGTTGTGAAAGAATAAAACGTGAAAAGTTTTTAGCCACGACCGCGGGCTGTTCTACCGAGGGATCGGCAGAATTCGAGGAACCGGGATTTTCAGGTAGGTTGTCGTTGGGACCGGTTTTCTTAGTCATCCTCCAGGGTAATTTTAGTAAATCACTTTATTGTTAAAATGTCACAATTTACCAAAGAATAAAACTACGCACAACAAGATAATTAATAATCAAATTTCACACAAAAAATATTTAATCGTCAAGAAAAAGGTGTTTTTCCAACCTTTATAATTTTTAGAACAAAGAGAAAAAAAAGAAGGTTGTTATATAATCGCGATACAATCATTCTTGAAACTGGTTAGAACCAGTTTCAAATGCAATATAAAAATAAGGTATAATATCAATTTCATAACAAAAAAAAGGAAGATGGGAAAACAAAAGAAACAAGTGGAGAAAAACGTAAAGAAAAGAAATAAGTTATACGGGACAAGTGGGGAGATAGAACATAACAGGTTATAAGCAGATAATGTGTAAACTTTAAAAATATAATATACTTAAAATTAATAGTTCCATAAAAAATAGGTCTACCTAATTTTTAATAAAATTCTTTCCATTTCCCAGCCTGGCCTAGATTTGGAAAAAATTTTTTTAGCCAGGCTCCTTTTTTTATTTTAAAGCCAGGCTTATATTTTAAAAAATTTGTCATGACCCATTACTAAATTTTTAAATTTTATCAATAATTTTTGCTGCATTTTGAAAATTGAAAATATGAGCACTAATGAGTTTATGATATTTATATGATTTTCCAACTCTTTGATTGATATGATTTACATTTATTTTAAAGAAATTAGAAGTTTTTTAAAAAAAATATAATGCCTGACAAGGTATTATTATCCCATTCCATTAAATTGCCTGATCTTACATAAACTAAATACCGGGTATGGTCTAGGTTCCTACTAGGATTAGTATATAATAGAAAGAGGTAAAACCTGACGAGGCAACAACGGGTTAGTTTGGTTGGTTATATTTTATTATTAAATGCAAATTCAAGCTATCGGCCCCAAATCTTCTTTTATACCTTATTTTCTTCTTATCCAATATTATAATATTTCATTATTCAATTTAGTCAATAAAAGATTTTTTTTTCTTTTTTAAAATCAAAAATTAAGTTTATCAGAATTTAAACGACCTAAATATTGGGACAAAAATCGATATTAGTATTATTAGAAGAGTGAAATTTTTTTTATATTAATTTAACGGATTGAAGTGTACATGAAAAATATTTCTTCTTAAATGGAGATCTAAACGTTATAATATGAATTTTTTTTAACCGTTACCCTGCATTTACATTATCGCGAATTCGTGGTGGATTACACAAAAATACATCCTATTTTGTATACTTCGCCGCCAATTCGCGCTAACTATAATGCAGTTATAACAATATAATTGATTTAAGAATTTAACACCATTTTATAACAATATCGCTTATGATGTTTTCCCGTTTCTTATTTCAGGTCTCTGAAATCTAAAATTTTTCTCGGTTTTAACTATTTTTCGACGTTATTAATTTCCGCCCTTGGGAAATTGGTTAAAAGTATTAAGATGCCTCCTAACTCGTCTTATTTATTTTTTAAATTAAAGATGGTTGTTAAGATAATTTAAAACATTGGGCGGGAAACATAATTTTTAGATAAATGAGCAGGCGGGTGGATGGATTTAAAAAAACCACGTGGGCGGGTTAGCAGGTTTAAAATTTTAAATGGATGGGCTGGTGTTCGGATTAAATCCCGCCTAGTGTTGTTAAACGGCTCGTTTTGAGCCTATTTTTCAAAACGGCTAACTCAATATTTTAGTCAGAAAAATATTGCCTAAGCCTCGAGATTTCGATAATATATGTCTAAACCTCTGTTACTTCTATGAGAAAAATCTTCAGGCCTGCGTAATATTTTTCTGGATATAATATTGAATTAGCCGTTTTTAAAAATCGGCTCAAAACGAGCCGTTTAACAACACTAATCTCGCCTTTTGCTGACCTCTAATCTGAATAGAAAGTGATGTTTAGAGTATTTTAAAGATATTATCACCTTATGTCGAAATCTCTATTTAAAAAGAAAGATATCCTAGCTTCTTTTGTGATTACGATTTAAAATTAAGAACAAAAATTGGGTCGAATTAATACAACTATAAAAACTCAACTATAAAAACTCCCTTTTTAACGTTTATCATAGAGACATCGGAATATCCATTAGCGAATTTCTATGTTATTATATGTTTATCCGAGATCTGCAGGGGTAAAATTTTAAGCCCGCTCTGGATTAAAGAAAAATCCCTATTTTTAAGCCCTGCCCGAATTTAAAATTTTTTTTATTTGCCCCTGTCCAATTTTCACTTATTCTTACGCCCTTGTTGATTTTAAATATTTCGTCATTTTAAAATGTATTTTAATTAAAATATTATCAGCAAATGAATGTTATATACTGGGTTATTTATATAATATTAATATTTTTAGGCGCCCGATCTTAAAAAATTAAAATTATACCATTTTACGCTCTTCTCCTAGCCGGTAGATTTCTGATATTTATAAAACTTTTTTTTTTAAATCATAAAAATTTATTATTTGAATAACCTTATAATGTAAGCCCCATAATTAGCCTTATTTCGCCATATAATTTTTACTAAATTGAAATATTTTTTTTGCAAAAATTCGATATTTAATGTTAAAATAAATATTTCACTGTTATAACTTATTAAAAATTACAAGTTATTTTTGACCTTCTTTTTGAGTAATAAATTTTAAGATTTATTGAGTAACATTATGACAAAAGCAATCTATAAATAAAAATTAATTATAATTGAAACGTTAAACTTGGAAACATCTTAAAGGGCAGGGCGACTCAAACTATAATTATGCTAATAGTATTGTTAAATCACTAAACTTTGACATCTCAAATAGAACTGAGTAGCCCTCTAAACTGTGCCTCAACTTAAAGGTGGGATAATAACTTGACTTAGCCGTTTTGGAGATGGCTAACGATATATGATTTTAACAACATTCTATTCTGACATACGGATATAATAGATAATTATAATTTCGTTTAAAAAAAATTCTAAATAGTTACTCAGTCTAATTTTTTTAGGGTTTGCATTTTCAATTATTCATTTACTTAAGGAAGATAAATTATATTTAAATATTATATTATCTACAATGAGGTGGGCAAGGTCAAAATAACTATGTTGGCAACCGATCTAAGTCAAGATAAGATATAGTCGCTGTTGAAGCTTTTACTTTGGTCAGTACCGACTTGCTTGAGTTTTGAACGGGCATTATTCCCTTCGAACTCTCGTTGATTTTGAATTTTCCACTCCAATGGTGACCTCGGCAGAAAATTTTAAATTATTCTGTCATATCTTATATATATATCTAGATTATTTTTTTAAAAATATAAATTCTTATTTTTCTCTAGTGCTACCAATTTTTTTGCCTTATATATATATATGAATCTTAAAATCTTTTATAACAACTTTAATTTATGAGGACTGGAATTTTAAGCGGGGTAGAATTTATTTAGCGGGTCGGTTCGGACCCCAAAATTTTCGAAAATAATATTTTATTTTTTTCTTCTGAGATTGAAAAACCCAACAATCTACCTTAAAAAATACATTTTTTTCCCCCTTATCGCTTGCTTTGCAGTACATAATAGGACTCCAAAAAAGAGGATTTTATAGCCTATCATGGAATAAATAAGAGTTTTTTTTATTTTATTTTTATTTTAAGAGTTATATGTGCATATTATAGTTACATTTTTTGTTTGAAAAAGTTTAATTAACCTTGTCTGTTTTTTTTAAATATAATTTTATGGGTTCTATTATAATAATCTGCGAAATAAAGATAAATAATCAAAATACTATAATATAATTGTACCATTCAATAAGATCAATGAATAACATATAATAACGCGTTAAGAAAAAGCTCAGTATCATCATTGCAGTCCTGACAATATTCTCTGGCTTGTTTTACTTCTAATTTTGTAGTTATAAGCTAAAATTCGTTTCAAGGCTCACGACAAAATTATTTTCTTAGCCAGTACATTAATACTAGTGCTCTATTTTGTACCCATTTTCTTTTCACCTTTAAAAAAAATTTGTCTTAAGATCTTATAAATATTTTTATGAATTCAAAAAAGTAAATATAATTGAAATTTTGTTTTCAAGGCAAAATGAAGTTCAATTCTTTAAAAAAATATTATTTTTTTTACATAACTTGCTTGTCAAATGTGTCATTTTTTCGAAAACATTTTGTTAAAACTAACAAATTTTTGTTTCAATAAATAATTAAAAAAATAAAATAATGACGATGAAGAGCTTGATTAAACAATAGTTTTATTCTGACCCATTAATTTTTTCGTAACTTAGTTTACATATTTAAAAATCATAGACCCGCAGACACCGAACCCGATCTGATCCAAGTTACCAGAGCGGATCCCGAAATTGTGTGCTTTTAAAAATCCGGGTGGTATTCAATTTTTTTTGAGATAAATTTAATAGTATCCATTATACCATTTGAGACCATTAGATTAGATATTGATTTCCTTCTCATATTTCCTTTTAGAAATAATTTTTTTAAATATAACGAAAAACTATTTAAAATTTTAAAATCATCATTCTGGCCGCGCTTAAAAATGGGGGTAATTTAAATCCGAATGGGCCTTAAAATTATTTTTGCAAGTTCTGTGTTAAAAACTCAAAACTCCATGCCACTTCCTCTATATATTGAACATAATTATTTTAAGCATCCTCTAAAACTAACTAATATACATTAGTTAACATTTAAAAATTAATTAATTTGATCACTCGTAATCTTAGTAAGTCATAAATATTTTAATTAACATAGGAAAAGTGTAAAATAATATTTAAAAAAAAATACTTCTCATCTCACGGGACAGATTATTAAGAAAAAGTTCATGAATACTTGATACAGAAAGTTTTTTTATATAATTTTCACTTTTTCTACTTACATTCAAAACAAAGGTTTGATTGAAGTTATAAATAATAGAAAAAAAAATGTTATTCTTATATTTAATTTATATATACGTTTATTAATTTTTTTTAAAAAATCCACAAGCTGGAGGCTGGCTCCGGTATTACGTTATAATAATTGAACGCTTTTTAGTTTTTAATTAGATCGCGCTTTTATTCATTTCTTTTTTTAATTGATTCTTAGTATCATTATTTGAAAAAATATATAAAGAATGTTAATTTTATATTGGCATGGCATAACACCGATTGAACACCATAAAATAAAATATCCTTAAATAAATTCTTGATATTTTTTATGATTTTAGTCGATATAGTAGTATACATTACTTAAGTTGGGTAATGGTTATAAGGCGAATTTTATTTCTGCTTTCTACAGTGGACTTATATTTTCAACAAGAAAGACCCGAGACTGATGTGATAGTTATCGGCTAAAATCTAAGCTTAGCCAGCAAAAAATTGGCTAAAATAGAATAATTATCCAACTATAAACATATACTAAATTAAGCCTTTACGATGATTAGAATGTTGCCTGTTTATATTTTTGAATCGATTTTTCAAGGCTTTGACTCTTTTTTAAAACATAAATCCTCTCATAATGTCCCCTAACATTAAATCCAAAATGTCAGCTTATTATAAAATATGATATTCAAAACGGCTCACTCAATATTTTATTCAAAAAAATATTACGCAAGTCTGAAGATTTTGATTATAGATGCCATAAAAGTTTGGACATATTTTCGCGAAATTTTAAGGTTTAAGTAATATTTTTCTGGCTAAAATATAGAGTTAGACGTTTTTAAAAATCGGCTCAAATCGAGCCGTTTAGCAAAACTAGATATTTATACATATAATATTTGTACATTTAATTATTTTTTTATGAAGAATCCTTCCGGCATATTTGATCTGATCGAACTGGTCGGCAATGGAACATACGGGCAAGTTTACAAGGTATACTTTACTTTATTTTATGTGAAAAAAATTATAATATGAGTTTTACTTAATATATATATATATACTTTATACCCAAAATTGGTTCATTTTATATTTTGTTTTTACTAGTATATATGTCTTATTGTGATATGGAATCCATGTGGATTCAAAATCTCTTAATTTTCAATCATTTACTGGACGCGATTTAAAAGTGAATCAGACAGATAAACATTTGAACGACACTTAACAACATATATTTATTTTTATATAGATTTTACATATAAATTGATTAATACACAAAATTTAATGGGAAAAATATCTGAATTTCATAGGGTAATTATTCTACATATACTGGAATACATTTTCGGTCAAATCAGCTTTCTAAGTTGAAAAATCGCTCTCAATAAATAAAATAAAATTTAGAGAATATCACAATACAACATGTATAAGAATTAATAATATACGTAGATAGGATATTTTGTGATTAAAATGATGTTATCAGAGTTTGAAATTTGAACTAAAAAGACCTTGATTTGGGTTTATAATATTTATTATTTTTTTAAAAAAAAATAATCGTGGCACGGGTTCTTATAAATTTTAAAAGGGGGTTTTGGTTCTTAGATTTAACATGGTTTCAACGGTCCTCGTTTTCTGGTCCCAACCTCTCTTAAATTAACAACGGAAAATTAAATTAAACAATTGATCACGCATTATTTTGAACATTACATTATAGATTAATTCCTTTTGTTTGAACCTTCCTGAGAATTTTAAAATGGATTGGTTTCGATTCCTATGTAGTTTTTAAGAGAAGGGCTGTATTTTTAGATTTATCGCCACGTTTTCAAAGGTTCCGGTGGTTTCAAACTGTCACCAACCCTTAATATAAAGGCCCGGAGTGTGGTTATTCTTACCTAGCGGGCGAAATTTTGTTCAAATTCATTTTTAACCTTGCCAAAAAATGGTCAAGGTAAGGCGCATAATCAAGAATTTTATTTGAGGAGGGACCCTTTTTAAAATTCATATTTTATATTATTGTACGTTAATCAATTAGTGATTATAAAAAAATTGACAATTTCTAATAAATATAAGATGATCAAATATAAATTTTAACACCAAAATGCTGTTATAAAATTATGTGCATAACCGGCATATAACCTCTAGACTGAAGATTTTTTGGCTAAAAACTTGGTTTCGCCGTTTCTGGAGTCATCGAAAACGGCAAAAATTGGAGCTGTATTCATTCTTAATCCTATAATTAATTTATTGATTACAATCTAATGTAAAGAAAAATTGAGTTCTCTTACCTAATCTAATAAAGCGTCTTCTTCTTAGATATCTTTTTCAGCCCATTCATAAAAATCACTTATAATGGGATCGTCTAACTCCATAAAATATAGACTGCTTGATGGTAAACGGTTTAAAAATCTTATTCTTTAGCTATGGAAGAGTCCACTGAAAGGTTTATATTAATGATGAGAGATAATTTGACGAAAAAAATACATTTAAATCTCATAACACCCTATCACTGCGCGAAAATAAATTTCAACATGTTTAAAAAAACAATCAATTCTACCTTGTCTTTCAACGAATAAATTAAATTATACTCTTATAACTAAACAATATGTTATAATATAGAATGAGGATGACAAAACATTAAAGTTATGCATATTCCATTACTCTTATTTACAGTTTTATTCAGTTATTTTATTAATTGTTTTCGTCGATTTTAAACACATCGTCATTGTTATTAGTGACAAAATAACACAGATTCATTGTTATAATTTGCAATGAATATTCGTTTTCATATATTATTATTCATACTATGTTTTATCAATAAGATTCTTGGCTGCATCGTTTTATTTTTCGCAACTTAAAATATCAGTGTTATAATTATATGTAGATTATTTATATATATATATATATATATATATCAGAGACCTGCAGGCCCCGGGCCTGGCCGTATTTTAAATATAACCGGGCCGGGTCTGAAAATTTTTTTAAAAAAAATATCCGGGCTGGGCCGTATATTTTAAAACCAAATATTTTAAATCACCAAGCTATAAAAATCAAGAATAAATAAAATATATTTTAAAAAAATCCGGGCCGGGCCTGAAAATGAAAATAATTTTTTGAAAAATAAAATCCCGGCCGGGCCAAAAAAATTTTTTTTTAAATCCAGGTCGTACAAATGGTACCTCTGCAGGTCTCTGATATATATACATACTATCGAAAACTCAATATTATATTTTTTAATAGGATATTATTATTATACTTTGTTAAAACTTTAACTCAATGGTGTCTATCTTATGAGGACAGAGTTTGTCTAGTCCTAATTACCAAGGGCATAATTTCAGTAAAATGAGCAAGTCTCTAAGGGCATATTTTTTTTAAAACCTAACCTACATTTAAAAAATCAAGATAAATTAAGTAACTTCGTCAGTGGGCAGTCCTCATATTTTAAAAATTCTAGCATTTCATCCGTTCTGCCTAGAATAATTAGAAATATTGGAAATTTTATATTTATACCATGAAGTACATTGGCTTAGAATGGGTCTTACTTAACTTTTAAAAGAACTAAATCTTACCCAAATCACCATCTCAGAGTTAAACGACTATTTAGCCCTATAATTGAGTTTAAAGTTTTCATTGTATGTGATACAATAAAAATACAAAAATAGGACAAATATATTATGTAATTATTTTCCATCCTAATTTATTTATAGACATGAGACCTAGATAGTAACAACCAATATCTTGGTCTTATCTAATATTTTTTTAAAAATTTTGAATAGTTAACTCCAATAACTGAGGTGACGAAATGTTTGTTGACGCACTATAGCGACTTATTGATTCTTATCTCCTTGCTCTACTAGAACCTCTTTAGCTATTTTTTTTGGTAGCAAAGATCTAATCTTTTTTTCTCTTCAGAATAATAGTTAGACGGAAAATCGACCAACCTAAAGAATAAATTTTTTCAAATCAAAAGCTTGCTCGCTGTCATCCATTCCAATTATTAGTTTTATTTTCTCAACTTCTCGAAAAACATTCATCTCGATGGTTCCGTCCCTTTATACCTGTAAAGAAGCCCTTTAGAAAAGGACGACAGTTGGTTTAGGAGGGTTCAGACTATTTGATAATGGTTTTATTGACCCTTTGTTAAGATCTTTAACTGAATTATGTATTTATATCTCATTCGGGAACCCCTTCTTTTACATCCTACTATTCTTTTTTGATCACGCCTTGTTTTTTTTCTTTTTATCTTTCACCTTTTCTAGTGGTAAGCTCCTTCAATATCTCTCTCCACTTTATTACTCATGATATCTATTTTTATCTAATTTATATTTCTGATCAATTTCATTTGGTTCTCCCACCGGAGTATCGCTATTGAGGCTAAAGTATCTTTATCTCACACCTAAGTATCAATATCGACCGATATCCCATCGGAGTATTCCTCATACCGATGTATCAAATGGATAGATATCCCACCGGAGTATTCTTATCGATTCCATTGAAATCTTGATCTCCCACCTGAATATCAATCCCGATGGATCTCCCACCGGAGTATCGTTATCAAGTCTTGTAGCTTGGTAGACATTGAGCTTGAACGGCTCCCGAGGTTACCATTATTCTAGTGCTGGCCAAGAGATCGTTATCACCCTTTAATGACCCACGAGTTCAGATGACCATCTTATTTGCTTTATTGGACAAGTATTCTAGCACCCGGCTGTCCAAACCTGTCGGTGACCGAGGTGGCATTTCTCAGCTCAGAAATGATATGTCTATACACATCCGTCATCGAAGAAAACCCCGAAAATTTTTAGTTCCCTACCAGGGCCTTGTATCATTAACTAAATCAGACGTTTGTATTATAATCATAGCTTTTGGGTCGTTCTTTCGTCGAGTAGTCAAGCTCAAGGCTAACGTAAGCAGAATCCGTTCGAAGACTAGTTTCTTTCAATTTCCCCATATAGCAGTGTTGTTAAAAGCTATAAGTAGCGCGCTATCACTACCACACTACTTTAGATTTTTTTTAAAAATATTTTTTCGTATTATGACTAAAATTTCAAATATATATATAATTTTTTTTTTTGAATCTTAATAATTATAATATGTCTATACTGCCATCCCAAGTCACGATATAAAGTATAAGCTATGGCTATACAATCCTTCAATACTAGCACGCAATGCAATATTAAATTAAATATACATATTTTTTTTATATAAAAAAGTATTAACATTATTTATTTGAACCTTTTTAGATTTAAAAAAATTCAGAAATCATTTATAAGTAGATGGCGTTTTTAATCTGACTAGGGTCAGTCTAATTATAATGGTAATAGTTAGAATAAAAATTATGTAGGAGAGAAGTGGATAGCCATGTTTGCCAACTGGCCAGGCCATCGCCCTTTGACTTTTATCTATTAAACCAATTTATCTCAAAATATTAAAATGTGAAAGGATTGAAATATTATTTTTTTTAGCATTGTTTTGATATTTATATATAGATGGATGGCTAATTTTAAGCATGTTTAACATCCAGATAATTATTTATTATAAAATATTATCATTATCATAATAGATGAGTCTGATGATAAAATGAAATGTTAATATTAATTATTTGTTGTAATTTTTAATTTATAATATAATTCTTTAATAAAATCTTAAGGCCAGTTGAGACATACCATGTTTGGACTGGGCTAGAAAATCAATTTTCACATAAACTCATCCAACTCAAAAACTATTATAGATACAGCTTTGATTTAAATTTTATTTTAAAGATTAAGAATTGGGCTACACATTCTAAACCGCTATAAATTGGGAATCTCGTTTATATCTCCCAAAAAATTTTAAAAATAATATTGAAAATAATATTAATAGATGCTAGGAAAAACACTTGTATTTAAATCGAGCTTTTAAAAAATAGCTAAAAATGGAGGAAATATTATCATTGTTCAAACAACATTTGGGAATATTAATAATTCCCTTAATTTTAGCGAAAACCTCAATTTAAATACAAA